GGAGGAGAGTCTAGTAAGCTTCCATCTGAAGAGGGTGGGCTGACGCAGCTGCCTTCACCTTGTATGTAGCGAACGCACTTTTTTTTTCTCCTAGAAACAGGGAGAGAGTTATCTGTGAATAAAGGGCAGAGACGCTGATGGAGACAGTTATCTAAAGCAAAGAGCCGTCAGTTAGCTACTCTGGGCTCTGCGCGGGCGGCACCCTGGCCCCACGCGCCGTCCTGGGGGTCTGGTGGGGTGTCCTCGGCACCGAGCCCGCTCGGGAACCTCCCCTTGGCTAACAGATTTGGAAAGGGTTCACCAATTGTCTCTCTGTCCCCCTCACATTCAGGCTGTCTCCTTTCCTTAATTATTTTAACTTATTTTAATGATCAGAAAATCAGGTAAGATGGTTTTGGAGCCCACTGTGCTAATCTACAAACTCGACTTTCCCCTGGGAAAAAAAACCAAACCAACCAAACTTAATCCTTATAAAATAAAAGCTCTGGATAGTTGATGGTATCTCAAGATGTCCCATAACGCTGTCCAACTCAACGGGGCTACCTCTACACCTGCGTCACTGTCGCGTCTTACGATGCGCTGCCCTTGGGAGGCAAGGACGGCTGCAAACTACTGCTCATTCCTTTCTCCTCTGTTAAGAACCACACCAAATCCAGAAACATCAGAATCAGACAGGAGGGATATATAATAGAGAGAATGAGAGAGAGGGGAAATAAAAACAAAACGAACAAACAAAGCAAACAGAAGAAAAACCAGGGGAAAGAACAGGATAAACAGAGTATGATCCAAAATAACAAGAATAACTGGTTGTATGGCCTGCAGGTTGTGGCTTATCGACTCAGTTTTACTTTTTGTTTTAAGGGGAAGTGGTAGATTTGGGAAGCTGCTCGTCTGCGTTTTGGAGAATTTTCCTCCGAGAGGCCATCCATGTTAACTCCAGACTGGGATCCAGTTTCAGGAGGTGAAGAGCACGACGACAGGTACAAAGGTGAGGAGCAACAGGGAGCTTATTTCACACCAGGGAATACGAGACTCTTGCAAGAGCTGCTCATCTTCAAATAAATGAGCAAGTGACCCGACAGAGATCTTTTCTCCTCCCTCTGTCCACTTAATAACGTAAAGGAGCAATGAAAAAGATGACAGTCTCACACCATCTCTCTTGCCAAGTATATGCAAGACAATTCTAGCAGTAGGACAGAAATAATGAGGCAAACAACCACAGCATCTGGCAGAACGACATTCAGTGGCCACCTTGACCCTAATAATGATGGCTCTCCAGCCCTCCTATTCACAAGCACACTTTCCATGGGAAGTGCTGAACTGCTGTTACACAGCCCCAAGTATATGGCAAGGTCTGTCTAGAGCAGCTCTGCCACAAAAACTTTGGACGCTCAGCTAAGCTGCACAAAGCCACCAACGCGAAGGAGTGGGCTGCTCTCCTCCAGTGGACACCCTGCCCTAGCTCAGCAACTTCATCAGAGGAAGCGCCTCAGCGTGGCACAGCAGTGGGAAGATGCCGGGTGACATTCCCCACTCGCTGGGTGCCCTAGCTCCACTGCTGGTCATCAACGTTCTCCCCTAGGTATGGCAACAGCATTTTACCTGGGTTAAGCCAAGGTCTGCCCTCTAGGCAATGGGGCTAGATGTTCTCGACTGTGAGGGAGATCTAATCAGCTTGATCCTGGAGTTAAGACATCATCTCCCATAGCCAGGAAGGGAACCGCAACCCCGGCACCCCACCTTTCCACCAGCTTCAGTGAGGGACCAATGCTGTGACATCCCTTCCTCCAGAGACTCAGGCTCTGCTCTCAGGTTCTGCTCCACGTTCCACATGGCAAGGTAAGGTGTTAGGGCTATTAGAGTTTTAACCACGTTAGCCTGCAGATCAATACATGCTAAAAACTAAAGACAACCATGCAACTTAAATGTTAAAAAGAAAGAAAGAAAGAAGAAAGAAAGATAGAAGACAGCAAGTGAAGGCTGTAAACCATGCTTTATTAGAGCAACGTTAAAAGACAGAAAAAGATTAATTTGGTGGGCTCAAAACAGAACCTGTTAATTCTTCTACCACCCACAAACAACGTGGGAAGCCTCTGGCTCTTGGCTAAGGACAGCCTGCTGCTCTTTCTCCCCTCCCCTCTCCTGTCTCACCACTTCCCAGCTTCAGCTGTGCAACACTACCAGAACCACAGTTCATGCCTGGGCCTCCTGTACAGCTCCAGTGGCAAAGCAGAATGGTGATGCTTCACAAAGCTCACCAATAATACCTGTGTGGAAAGGTGGGTTCTCACAATTTGGAGACTGCAGGGCTCCCCTCCATCCCCAAATTAAAATAATTTGCAAGCAGAGACCCAGGCTCTGCCTGCCTCGTTGTTGGTGGTCCAGAAGCCATTCACCTGGATTGCTCTGAACCTACAAGGCAGTGAACTATTTCATTGGAGGACTTTTTTAATACTACTTAAGTTCTGTGGCCTGAAAGGAAGAGTTCCCATGGCAAAGTGGACTTTAACCAGGTCTGCCTGACTTTCTGACTCTGCAGAGTTAACAACCTTTTAAAACTAAACCCACTGGTCTGCTACCTGAAGTAATTTTCCTTTGACTAGGATTAAGGGAGCAGATTGCTTCCTCTGCTTCTGTTGCATGTTAAAATCTTTAACAGCCTGGCCACTTTTAGTCTGAAAAGCCATTTACTCAAACCACGATGGCTCAAAGGGAGGACATTTCTCCAGCCTGTGCCATTCCCACCATGCGTTATCTGTGGCCATGCACGTGTCAGGGTTAGGTGGGGCAGAAGGTATGGACGGTAAAACCCCAAACCCCTCAAGCCAAATTTTACCAGAAATGAACAACACCAGGCAACTCTGGTGAAGGGGAATAAGTAAACATCCAGGGAACTCTTTGTGCCTCAGTTTTGCTCTCCTAAAAGTGGCAACAAAAATACTACATATCCCTCCTCAGAGGCACTAGTGAGCATCTTGTGCATCGCTCTGAAAAGCGTCAACTGCTACATCAGTCCAGCAAACACCAGCAGACCTGACCCCGCTGGTGCTGCCCTGGAAACCAGCCCCAGGACAGCACAGGGAAAAGGGAAACCTGCAATGCTGCAACTGCCATGAGTGAAAGCCACAGAGGGTGACAAGGGTTTATTCAGCTGCTGCGAGGAAAGATGTTTCAGTTTCTGTTGTAGTAGCAAACTGCACATCTTTAGCACCTACCTAAGGTGCGCTACAAAATGCTACCATGCTAGCAAATGCAATGTTAAAATGGTTAGGACCAGAACTAGGAGAGAAATGCTCTATCTAGTACCTAGTGATAAAACGCCTCCATGCATTTAAAACCAAACCAAACCAAACCAAACCAAAAAGAAAAGCAGCTGACTTTCTATCAGTAAGTCTAAAGCTATCAGCTACACCACTGAAGTCGCCTCTGATGTGCTGCAAAGATTTCTGACCAAAGTCTGGCGTAAGTTAAGAGAGGGTTTATGCTTCACATGTACCCTAAGCACTGTGCGGCCAAACGAAAAGTCCCCTTGCTGATAAAATGTAGTTTTAAAGGTAGGCTGTTTACTTAAGCAGC